TGAAAGACCTAGTGACCTACTACTAGCCCTTGCTAAAGAAAAGAATATTACTGTTCGTCACATGTTCAGGGAGGCAAATTGTGCTGTTGATTATCGCTCATTATGGTCTTCTCAAAATATGTAACCTTGTTTTCCTTGATTTTCGGCTCCTACCCCTAGTACCCAAGAGGATTTGAGGAGTCATTTTAACTGATGTAACGCTGCTTTAATTTGTTTGAAATAAAGCTGGGAAGGGTTCCCTGACCTTACCCCACTGGTTTTTGTGGTTTTCCACTGGGATTAAAAATGAAATAAAATAGTTTTTAAAGAAATAAAAAAGGGAGTAATATACATTCAAAGTTACACAACAGTCCAACGTTACACAACAGTCCATTTGGATCCCACGATATACATATATATATGTGTGTGTGTGTGTATGTGTGTATATGTGTTTATATAGGGGCTGGTTCACGTGAGAATACACCTTGGTGAAAGAAATAAGAATGAAATCTAGCCTTTGGATTTGATGCATCGTGCGGCCTAGATTGCATCCTGCGCTCAGATTTTGAGATAGTGCATTTTCAAAGGATTTTGGTGCATTTCGACATGACGCATTTTCAAACCATTTTGGTGCACCTAATTTTGATGCAATGCTGACCCTTAGATCTCACAATCTAAAGCACCAGATTCATTCTTATTTCTTTCATAAGATCGCATTCTCACCAGAACCAAAATCTGTTTATATATATATATATATATATATGTATGAATGTTTATATATATGTATGTATGTATGTGTGTGTGTGTGTTTATATATATATATATACACATATATACATACATACAACAACAACAACAGCCCAGTTAAATCCCACAAGAGTAGGGTCTGGGGAGGGTGTGTGTACGCAGACCTTGCCCCTACTCGAAAGTAGAGAGGCTGTTTCCAAAGAGACCCCCGGCTCAACGTCGAAAGTTGCATTGCCTGACTAACTGCTACTTCATTAATTAAAGAAGCGCAAATAGTTTAGATATCCATTTTGATTTATTCCATCATACATACATACATATATATATATATATATATATGTATATATATATATATATATGGTACAGATTTTTTGTTTCCTTCTTGATGTGTCTAGTTAGTTGGAATTTCATGCAACATATTCATGCACAGTATGATGACACAGTTTTGCTGGTTCACTACCTCTGTTCTTGGGTTCATAATTTCCCAATAAAATGAAGTCATTATACTGCTTAATTTTTTTCTGTTGAGAATCAATTAGTTGTTGCATTAATGTTCTTTGAGTCAGTGCTTAGCCTAACTTCCTAAACACCAAGTTTATCTAGGAATAGAATTTTGACTATCTCTTTGCAGGCAGCAGCAATCAACTGTTGAGAATCAATTAGTTGTTGCATTAATGTTCTTTAATGTCATATTTGACATTATACGTACCTTTGTTTGACACTATATAAATCTTTATTGTTGCATTGTGTCAGGCGATAGTGACAATGGTAAGGACATGGGGTGTGACGCCAGTTGCGGCGTTGCCCAAATTGTGACAGCAGCACAGGTGACTATGGCCAGGGCGGTGTGGGTAGCAGTTCAGATAATAAAAATAGGGGGTTTCGAACTTTCGAACTAGTGCCCTAGCGACTAGGCTCCTCCGACTAACAACATTGCTCCTCCTAAGCTCGGGCTGCTTGGCGACGGTGGCCGGCCTCTTCCACGGAGGCTACTAGATGTGACGGTGGTTGTGAATCCAAGGAGAAGAAGAGAAGAGACATTACAACTTTGGTTGGGACTTGCTTCTGAATGGCGGCGAGTTCCTCCTGTGTGCCGCGGCGGCGGCAAGCATCATGAGTCAAAGAAGACGGAAGTTGATTGATCAATTCTATTAAATGCATTTATTTAATTTGGGTATGCTTTTGTAGATGCACTGGAGTGGCGCATGCAGTGGTGATTAGTTTGGGCGGAGATAATTTAGTTTATAACTCCTATTTAGGGGAGTTTAAGTTTCAACTCCTATTTAGGGAATTGACATCTCTTTTACTCCTATTTTGGTCCTTCTCCCTAACTATTTTACAACATATCAAGTAATTCTACTTTGCTTAACAAATGGTTGCGATAAAACAAATTTTGAATTAATAAACATTTCTAGGAAAAGCAATTCAAAAAATTTACCATTGTTTAAAGGTCCTGAAAATAATAAAATCTCGAGATTAGTTAAAAAATAAAAAAACATTTACCAAATGGAAAAGAGGAATTAACATTTTAATTTCTTCGATAGATTTTGTTAGCATTGGTTTGCTAAACCTCATGTTTTGATGTTAACAAATAATATAAGAGCTTGTTGTTTGTTTAAGTGTTTCAGGTACAACAAGAATCCATTAAGATTCGGTACTCATGAATGAAGTTGAAACACCAAACTAGCGTAAAATATAGGTAGAAACCAATGTAAGGATATGATTTTATATACCTATATATTCACAAGCTCAAAAGCACTCACAAACATTTATGTTTAAAACCATCTTATAAACATTTTCAAATATCCAAAAGGTTTTAAACTCAAACACGAAGAATTATGGAAATTTTGGAAAACGCATGACAGTGGTACGGTACCCTATACCGTCCAAACGGTAGGGTATACCGCCAAAACATTCCCCAGTACCGTTAGACGCCAGGTACCACCAGAGCCGACTTAAGTTTTGGTGTTACATGGTACCGAGGTACCGCCACTCACGGTACCCCCTACCGTACGAACAGTACAAGGATGTCGTGAGGACGGTACCGGCCTACCGTGACCGTTGGGTTACTGTTCCTGATTTGTGATTTTGACTTTAATCAATCCTAATAACCACTCAACGGCTAATTAACCTTTTCCACTATAAATACAAGTCTAATCCTTCATATTTTTTTAAGAAACAAAGCTCTAAACATCCTCTCTTTATATTCTAAGTGTGTTCATTCTTTTATCAATTATTTTCAATATTTTGGCTATTTCAAGAGCTTTAAATTCCTGATTTTTATACAGACACTTTGAGCTTGTGTTTCTAGTTATATACTCTCATATTCATAAGTTTGTATTGTAATTTTGAGAGAGTATAATTTTGTTCTACACCGGCTAAGTTTTTGTTCTTCATTTTTATATTATAGACGTTGTGTAGAACATTTGATTGTGTTCTTCACACACACCTTCTTACGGTCGAAAATAGCCGTTAAATTTTCATGTTGTAATGGTTAAAGATAACCGTATAAATCCTTGGGTAGAGGTTCAAGGATAGCCTTTGAAATCCTTGGGAGAAGGGTAGAAGATAGCTGTTAAATCTTCATTGTAAACAGTTTGAGATAGCCGGGGTGAAATCTTGGAGTGAATCCTATTGCCAAAGGTTGTTTGCCAAACTAGTGCGGTGCTTTGCCGGAGTACCCCTTTGTTTGGATGGATGGAATTGGGAAGGAAAGAAAATAAGGGAGGAGAAAACACACTTCCCAAGAAAAAATCACTTGTTTGTTTAGGAGAGAAAAGGGGAAGGGGAGAGAAAAAAGGTGAGAAATATTTTCTCCCCTCATGTGGCGAGAAAACTTGAGGGAGGGAGAGAAAAGTATTAAAATGACAATTTTATCCTTACTTTTTCTTTGTTTCATTAGCATAAATAAGGATAAAAATGTCTTTTTGCTTTATCACCTTTTCTTTCTTTTTATATTTTCACTCCATTTTCCACTCATCCAAACAACAATAATTTTCTTTCTATTTTCTCTTCATTTTCTTTCCTCTCTATTTTCTTTCCATCCAATTTCTTTCCACTCATTTTCTCTTCTTATCCAAACAATGGCTACAAGAGACCGGAACTTAGTGGATTCAGAAATCCTTGAGGAGGAGCCTCGAGGTACTGGAGTAGAGAGTTCCGGAACCAGTATAAAATTGATGCGCATTTTATTTACGCTTTTATTTCTGCGTTTTATGTATTGTTTTCCGCATTTTCCAACACCACTTTTATTTAACTCCGAAAAGTTTTTAAACGCCTTATTCAACCCCCCCTCTAAGGCGTGGGCACAATGACTAAAGCGACTAACAGATTTTAATCTAAGTGGATATATCTCTTAATATATACTCTATTCATCTCAATTTTTTTTAATTTGATTTTTTTGTCAAAATGTTACACATTTTGACTATTAAAAAAAAATAGTGTAATTTTTTATATCATTCTTTTATTAATACTCCGTATATAAGACCAACGTAACTCTACTATCTTATAATCAATCAAAACAACCAGTTGCCAGGTAGTGACAAGTAAATCATAAATGGAGGTTTGTCATTTGAAATCTCAAAATATGTACGTCACACAAAGGACTATAAAGTAACATCTTTTCTTAGCAGAAATTATTGAAAGGGTCCTTTAAATTGGATCGATAAACTTGAATCCGCTCCCTTGTTGATAGTCAAGCCAATAATATTGTGTCATACTCTTCCAATAATGCTTGAGTCACTTAACACGCGACACTGAAAATCAAACCAAATTGAAGTTATTACTCTGTATTAGCTAGTAATAAAAGTGTATAATTTTTTATCAATTTAATATTAAAATTTATACAAATTAATTCAAGAAATCAAAAAACACACAGACCAAATATATAATCTAAGAGTGAAGTAGTATATACTAATCCGTATGTACCTACATACCTTTGGTACCGAATTTTTACCCTTCCATAGTTGCGCATGACATCAGCCTGACCCGGCTTTCCCATGTATCCAAAAGCCAATCCGTCCAAGTCAAACCAAACCGGTTCATTGTTGCATGCTCCCGGACATTCATCTGTTATATAAACTTTTATCGGTTGTCCTGAACACGCTGGGTTGTCAGTATATTTTACCTGCAACCTGTTACGGGACTATTACTATTATTATATTATTATTATTATTATTATTATTATTGTAGGTAAAGAGTTATTTATAGTTAGATAATTATTATTAGAGAATATTATTTTTGTTAGGTTATTAATTAGTTTCTTATTTTATTTAGTTTCCTTTTAGAGATTGGATTCCCTTAGGCTTTTAGAGTTTCACTCTATATATTGAGATGTATTGCTTTAGAATTAAATCAATAAAGAACAATCATTTCCCAACCCTAATCTCTTCCTCTTATCTCTCGTTCTTCTCTTCCGCCGAACAAAGATTCGCGGTTCTCTCCCACTTCTCGTCTCTTTTTCTCTTGGAGCTTGAAGAACGCTCGAAGTTCTTCCCTATCCCGATACGATACTGTATCAATTGGTGTTTTCATTCTTGAACTCACCCAAAAAATACAAAAAAAAAAAAAATCTACAGCACGCGCAATGGATTCACTTTTGGACAAAGTTCTTGGTTCACTCGAGAAAGTTCTACGGGGACAAATTGAATTTTATGAAGGAGTGTGTGCAGTTGAAGATTCCGTGGATGAGATTATAAAGAAACTTCAGGCATTTCGTCAAATTGAAGGTCAACCAAAATATGATTACAAGGTATATGCGTTTTCCGTAGAGGCATATTGTTCAATACAAAATTTAGTCCGTGGTCTCCCAATTATGCCGAGCCTGATTCCTATAGAGATATATATTTTCAAAACAACCATGATGCGCTCTATAAGGAAACTCATTGGCACTCCCCGAGATTTGGCCCCTACAGTAGCTGTGCAGAACACAACTTTGCAAGACCAGGAATTTAAAAAGGAAATTTTTATTAATCCTATTGGTGTTCCCGATGATGATCTTATTATTGATCCCATAGATGTTGTTCCTGTTACCGTTGATGATGTTGTTGTTGTTGATGTTTCTGGTGACGATCAACAAGACCACACTGTCCAAGCAGAATATTCTAGAGATAGTGTCATTTTTTATGAATGCACAGAAACATTTGGGACGTCAGGAAGTGACGTTGTTGTCCTTTATGATTCTGGGGATGTCAAGCGTGCTGGCATGATTTTCTTCTTATTGGTTCTCTGGAGTTGTTTGCTTGGCGTTGTTAATGCTTTGAGCTTGACCGATTCTTTTGATGCTCCATTCATAAAGATCTTTGACCCCGGAGGATGTCTGTTCACAACGCATGATTCCTCGTTTATTCTAGATTTCCAACTTGAGGACAAGTTGGTTTTCGAGGAGGGGAGAGTGTTACGGGACTATTACTATTATTATTATTATTATTATTATTATATTATTATTATTATTATTATTATTATTATTATTGTAGGTAAGGAGTTATTTATAGTTAGATAATTATTATTAGAGAATATTATTTTTGTTAGGTTATTAATTAGTTTCTTATTTTATTTAATTTTATTTTAGAGATTGGATTCCCTTAGGCTTTTAGAGTTTCACTCTATATATTGAGATGTATTGCTTTAGAATTAAATCAATAAAGAACAATCATTTTCCAACCCTAATCTCTTCCTCTTATCTCTCGTTCTTCTCTTCCGCCGAACAAAGATTCGCAGTTCTCTCCCTCTTCTCGTCTCCTTTTCTCTTGGAGCTTGAAGAACGCTCGAAGTTCTTCCCTATCCCGATACGATACCGTATCACAACCATAATATTTAGGTGACATACATATATATGTCAAACGTAAGTGGCTTTAGCATTCCATGCAAAATTAATATGTTAATTAATCAAATTAATTCATTATAGTTAAATTAAAAGCTAGTATAATATTATAATGCACGTACTTGGTAACAACTTCCACAGTTCCACACCCTTTTTCACTTTTATAGAGAGCTTGATTCCCCGCAGCTATCATAGAATTGTAGGGTGGATTGCCAACATTCCCAAATCCGCATGCTCCAGTATCTACAAACAAAAATGTGTGTGAATATGTATCATGGCCAAGCTAAGAGGGATAATTAATATAATTAAATTATTAGAACATTAATTAATTAATTAATTAATGTTGGAGAAGTTTGTCTAATCAAAGATCATCACTTCTACGAAAGAAATTTTTTAATATAAACCATAATATATACTCCTTCCGTCTCATAAACTCCTTCTTCTTTCCTTTTTCTTTGTCCCACAAAGTTATTTTCATTTCTATTAAAAAATCATTTTTACCTCTATTATTTCTTACCCTACATATCATATCATATCTTTTTACTAATAATAAACTCATCACATTC